TAATAATAATAATAATAATAATAATAATAATAATAATAATAATAATATCTGTCCAAGACATGGCCCAAAGTAAGAACATCTCCTTGGACGATATAGGTAGATAGGTAGTAGGTGGAAAGATAGACAGACAGACAGGACTGGAATAGGCAACCTAGCTGTAATTCTACAAAGTTCCAGACAACAATCTGAAAGTCTCATAAAGATTTTCTCAGGCAGAATCCCAAGATCAAAAACAAAAGGGGAAAAAAAGAAAGATTGCTCATCACAGTGATGGAGGACACCTTTCACAATATTTACTCAACAGGCATTTGCCTTTGAATCATCTCCCAACACTTTTATGGCTAATACTATTTTCGGTACTTATCGTTAAAGACATTGTGCAACTTTCCCAAAGTCGTTTGGTCCTTTTATTTATTTTTTAAAATGCATTTTTATGAAACTGAAATGTCTTCAGTTTGATTCCTGATTCGTCCAGCTGTAGTAAAAAAAAAATGTGGCTGGGAAATTCTGGGAGTTCATCTTAAAAGTTAGATCTCTTCACCAAAGGTTGTAGCTTTTTTAAGTTGTTGAGAAAAGGGGGAAGGGGCCATACACACAACACAACAGGAAGAAAACCTACCCCTTTGACACCGTTTTCCTAGACATATCCATCTTGTTTCTCACAGAGATTCCTGATATTTTGCGGAACGGTAGACGAGTGTAAAAATTCTTGATGCTCCCTTCAAGAGATACTGCAAAATCAATCATATAAAAAGAATCAGGAGTTTTAGTTCCAACATTTAACCCCCATGCAATCCCATTCTTACAATCAAGAAATATCTCCCTCATTTCTTCCCTGATATATAGGGAATAAGAATGAATTAGCAGTAGAGGTGATATTCAGCCAGTTCTGACAGGTTCTGGAGAATCACTAGAAGAAATTTTGAGTAGTTCAGAGAACATAGAGTACTGCATCCAGTTTTGTTCACCACATTACAAAAAAGATGGTGAGACTCTAGAAAGAGTGTAGAGAAGAGCAACCAGGATGATTAGGGGACTGGAGACTAAAACATATGAAGAACGGTTACAGTAACTGGGCTTGGCTGGTCTAGTGAAGAGAAAGACCAGGGGAGACATGATAGTCTTCCAATATTTGAGGGGCTGCCACAGAGAAGAGGGGGTCAAGCTATTTTCCAAAGCAGCTGAAGGCCAGACAAGGAATAATGGATGGAAACTGAACAAGGAGAGATTCAACCTGGAAATAAGGAGAAACTTTCTGACAGTGAGAA